CACACACTAACTCTCTCTCTCTTTCTCATACACACACGCACACACACTCCCTTCGGACGAGGTGACGCACACACCCAAGGTCCTTATGCAGAACAAAGTGTCTGGATAATGGATAATGTTTTACTTAAATACATTATTCGTTGGCCCATCTGCATCATTTGCACAGCTTCTGTAGTCTGCAGGTTGGAAATGGCCTCCTCTAGGGCCATGTAAAGATGCATGAGGATGATGATGATGATGATAGGCTTTTATGTTGGTGTGCAACACAATGAAACAAAGGCTGTGTCCTAGACTAGTTGTCAAAAATTAAGGACAACAGTACATTGAGTCAGACAGACTTGAGGGCTTTGACCTGATTCTCCACCCTTCTCCCAAAGTTTGCACTTGCACACTTCCAGTCATGGATTCAAAAGCAATGGATTGGTGTAATCATTGGCTAGATGGAGTTTCCACCATTTTTAAATCCATTACAAGAAGTGTGGGAGGAGGATGGAAAATCAGTACACAGACGAGGTCCTAAATTCCATACAACCCTGTGATAGCGCTCTGCTCCCAACGAGCTGGTCTTTTAACAGTACCAAGATGCAGAGGGGTGAACCAAGGCTACATTCCCAATGAAGTTGTAAACACGCATGCTATGTCTACGCCAGCCCAAAGTTGTATAACTACTAGAAGCTCAGCGATTGTAATCCATAAAACAGCATGTTGTTCATTAAACACACAAATGCAGCAACAATCCATAGTTTGCCATGTCATGTGGGCTTTCACGGGCATATGCTCACCACTTTAATAGCATAAGCTATCATCTTATCTATAAGTTCTTAACTCCTCTTTAGAGTGCTGTCATGCTCTCCCATATCCTGTATCCATCCGGCCCCCAGCTCACAGCCATCCTCAAGCATTTAGCCAACGGAGATGAGTATAATCTTTATCTCAAAATAATCTTAATTGCAGTAATCTTCGGGCCTGGGCGATATCAATGCGTATACTCCGGTTGTGCAGGCGGCCAATTCCATCAAGTCCTCCTGATACAATTTTGAAATCCTGTCATTGTCATGCATTGGAATATGATAAACTATCAGTAATCCAATAAAGGCATTAGCGTACCATTAGGGCGGCACTTCCTGGCTTGTGAGGGACACGCAGGGCCTTGTTCAGCCTAATGGAGCAGCCTTGTTAGTGTTTATTTATGGAACCAAGATGTCAAAGCACTTAGGGTCGGAATGTGCCTCGTCCATTAAGGCCAACGGCCAATGATGTGCTATGGAAAGAAGATCTTAGGCCTGGACTTAATCCAAGTCCTCAACCCTCACATTTTGATTTACGTTACAGCCTTATTCTGAAATGGATTAAATAATTTTTTTTCCTCATCAATCTACACACAATACCCCATAATGACAAAGCGAAAACAGGTTTGAAGAAATGTTTGCAAATGTATTAAAAGTAAAACATTGAAATACCTTATTTACATAAGTATTCAGACCCTTTGCTATGAGACTCAAAATTTAGCTCAGGTGAATCCTGTTTCCATTGATCATCCTTGAGATGTTTCTAAAACTTGATTACCTGTGGTAAATTCAATTGATTGGACATGATTTGGAAAGGCACACACCTGTCTATATAAGGTCCCAGAGTTGACAGTGCATGTCAGAGCAAAAACCAAGACATGAGGTCGAAGGAATTCTCCATAGAGCTCCGAGACAGGACCGTGTCGAGGCACAGATCTGGGGAAGGTTACCAAAATTATTTTGCAGCATTGAAGGTCCCCAAGAACACAGTGGCCTCCATCATTCTTAAATGGAAGAAGTTTGGAACCACCAAGACTCTTCCTAGAGCTGGCCGCCCGGCCAAACTGAGCAATCGGGGGAGAACGGCCTTGTTCAGGGAGGTGACCAAGAATCCAATGGTCACTCTGACAGAACTCTAGAGTTCCTCTGTGGAGATGGGAGAACCTTCCAGAAGGAAGCAACACTCCACCAATCAGGCCTTTATGGTAGAGTGGCCAGACAGAAACCACTCCTCAGTAAAAGGCACATGACAGCCCGCTTGGAGTTTGCCAAAAGGCACCTAATGACTCTCAGACCATGAGAAACAAGATTCTATGGTCTGATGAAACCAAGATTGAACTCTTTGGCCTGAATGCCAAGCGTCACGTCTGGAGGAAACCTGGCACCATCATTACAGTGAACCATGGTGGTTGCAGCATCATGCTGTGGGGATGTTTTTCAGTGGCAGGGACTGGGAGACTAGTCAGGATCAAGGCAAATATGAACTGAGCAAAGTACAGAGAGATCCTTGATGAAACCTGTTCCAGAGTGCTCATGACCTCAGACTGGGGCGAAGGTTCACCTTCCTACAGGAGAACGACCCTAAGCACACTGCCAAGACAACGTAGGAGTGGCTTCGGGACAAGTCTCTGAATGTCCTTGAGTGGCCCAGAGTCCGGACTTGTACATTTCTGGAGAGACCTGAAAATTGTAATTATGGGGTATTGTGTGTAGATTGATGAGGAAGAAAAAAAAATGTAATCAATTTAATCAATTTTAGAATAAGGCTGTAACGTAACAAAATGTGGAAAAAGTCAAGGGGTCTGAATACTTTCCAAAGGCACTGTATATAAACATATCCATTCATCACATTAAATCCAGAGGTTTTCACTTCTATTTACTTTTTAACTATCATTTACATTTAAACATAAAGCAATGCAATCAAAATGTCAAGATGTCTTTTTCCTTGTGTTGTTGACTGAGACCAGTTTGACTTTTATGAATGAGAGCAGCATGTTGCAAACTAAGATTCCGGTCAATTTGGCATCTTAATGATTGGCATTATTACGGTTTTCACTTGTATCAAAACTATCTCAACCAGCTGCCGTCAACAAGCTCCCATCTGCTGCATTCAATATTTGTCCCGCTGCTTCAAGAATTCTGTTGGATCCTCTAGGACTCAAGCAGTCTCTAGGACTAATATGGGGTCCTATTTACTTACCTAGGATTGCCTCACCTGGTTCAAATGTTGCAACTGTCACTAAAGTATACCATCATTACCAGTTATAGTTCTCACAGTCAAGGAGAGTTGATTAATGAAATAGTAATACAAAATTTTTCCCAAAAGTGCCTCTTGCCTTGTGTTACCCTTGCAAGTTATTCTGTTTTGAATAACTTTGTGGTAACCACAACTCGATACATTCTAGGATTCTCCAGAACAAGCCATTCTCAGAAGAGAATATGGTGTTGCAGTCTGGTCTTGTGAGACTACCTTTGTGGAAACAAGGAGGACACATTCTTACACTAAAGTTCCTGTCTGCAGACCATGGCTGAACCGTTTTAGCCCTAGTTGTAATGCCTCCATTCACTATCCAGTTAAGACCCAGAAAGGGAGAGTAAAGTCGATGCTTGACTCTTTTTGCGATCTCTTTTAGGGACTGTTAGACCTTATGAGCTGTAGTCAACATGAGCACATCTGAGCCTTTCTACTTCACTTCACTGATTTCCTAGTTTCTGATAACCACAGGGTACTCAGTCATTTGATATCACAGTCAAGTGGAGCTTTTCTATTGACAATCTGTGCCACAGGTCTATGATATATTATTTTCAATCAATATATTTTTTCTAGAGCTATCAAGCGTATCAATTGTATGTATTTGAAAGGAATGGGGGACTTGAAACTAGGCTAATGTATGATGACGATTCGTATCTCAGAATTACACAATGTTTTCACTCGCTTGCTTCAAAAAGAAGTATATTAGAAGAGACTTTGATCTAAAATCCAGGCAAGATGCTGTATGCTGTAACTGGGGCACATTGGAGTGATTGGACTATAGGTCAATCCTATGTACAACCTCTTGTTAACTGAATTACTTTGACCCATGGGTAACCATGGCAGTAGCAAATAACCCAGTGGGCACACACTAGTTGAATCAACGTTGTTTCCATGTCATTTCAATGAAATTACATTGAACCAACATGGAATAGATGTTGAATTGACATCTGTGCCCAGTGGGAAGAGCTGCTTGGGTCCGCAGTCTGTAGAGCCAAAACTTAGGCCGGGATTCATTCCGATCAGGGGCAGGGAGCCTAGCGGTTTAGAATGTTGGGTCAGTAACCAAAAAGTTGATGGTTCGAATCCCTGAGCCGACTAGGTGAAGAATCTATCGATTTGAACTTGAAAAAGGCACTTAACTCTAATTACTCCTGTAAGTCACTCTGGATAAGAAAAAATTACTAAAATGTCAAATGATCGCCCCTTTTCGGCTATGCACCTTAAATGGGCAATCAGTAGTTGAAACAATAACAAAGTGGCTCCCTGCCACCGGGGCAATAGAAATGTAACCACTCAAATAGACAAAGCTATGGATGCAAGGACTGACCATCCATGATGTCAAAATTATAGTTTTAACCTAGTTTGTAAACTACATTGCTGTGTAAACATTGCTAACATTGTGTTCTGATTGGAATCCAGTCTTTGACTATGAAGTCAGCAAGGGTTACGCTTTGTCACCTTTGTACTAGCTCATCTATAGCCTGAGAAGGCTGTTTGTAAGACATAGTGTTTATCAACAGTAAAAAACTAAACAGACACAATTTGAGCCACATGGGACAACATTACTGCAAACATAGGCTACATTTAACTGAGTTATCTTGATACATACTATCCATAGCTGTGTGGTCCCCGGGACCACCCATACATAAAAATGTATGCGCACATGACTGTAAGTCGCTTTGGATAAAAGCATCTGCTAAATGGCATATTATTTTTATTATTATTTAGACATTGTAACTTCAATATTTCACCTCAACGCTAGCAACAACATTGGCACACTGGCATTTTCCAATGTGAAAGGCCATGCATAACTTAATGATCCTTGTCAGTTCTGCTTTCCTGAGTGGGCTGAAACTTAATGTATTCTACTTTCTCCTCTTTATGCTCAGGCTAAGGTCAATGACCCTGGCACTTTTAACTTTGAGTATCCCTGAGAGTTGCTCTACTTTCCGATTAATTCACCTCTCGACAGCCTGTAGTGATTAAGGCTTAAAGGAGGGGAGCTGTGAGCGGTTCCTATGTTTGTCGAGGAACCTGCGGAATTGTTAATGTCCTGGCAGATCCTCCAAGAGATCAAGCCGTGTACTGGCGAGGGGTAACGCACCGGGAACATTTGTCCAACTAAATAAAGGCCTCACATTCATCAGATAACAACGGGCTGAAATTATGCATGGCATAACCAGCATGCTGACCCTGGAGAGTCAGCACATGGCACTGGTCTGAACCCAGAGGAGCCCGGGCCAATCAATTAAAACAGAAAGGGAAATTGTTTTTTTGAAATCATAATCATTATTCAAAAATATTTTTCTGAAATTACACATGGAGATGGCATTTTTTGAATTATGGCCGTGGGGGGGGGGTATGGTCTGGATGTAAGGCTCAGCTCGGGGAAGGCTGCTGTGCACTAGCTAGTGTTCAATCAATCTCAGATTTTAATTTGGAAAAACATGGTGTGTCGCGAGGGGGCCGGACTGGCAAGGCCATTTGATGGATGGCCTATTCATGATTAATGGTCAGTGGGGAAAGTTATGCCACACCGGTTAAATATCAGGGCCGGTCGCCTCTCATGCATAGTCTTTTCAGATAAGAGGTAAGTACCTTTGACAGTATCAGCTCACTGTCTGTATGTAAGTATGTAAGAATGAGGTAGCGAAAGGTGACCATACCGTGACCCTGTTTGAAATGGGAGGTTTCTCCATAGGAGGTGGAGGGAGTCATCAGATAGAAAGGTCATCCTAGTATCTCTCATTATAGTTACTCAATCTAATGGCAAGAGGGCTAGGTGTTATCATCCAAGTGAACACAAACACACACACAATAAATGGCCATCGTAATTAGTCATGGCCAGAGCCGGCCCTAAGCGAGATTTACAAAACCTGAGCAAAACATTTACATTTTAAGTTTTCAAGTTCATCTGGTGTAGGAAAATTGTTGCCGTTTTAAAACAAGTTTTCTGCAATTCTGCACATTTTGCCATGGGGCATAAAGAACATTTAGCAATTTTAGAACACATTTCATGCAATTTTACTATTTTTGCCATGGGGCAGAGATATGTTCTTTAGTAGTTTTAAAGAAAATTTCAAGCAATTCTATACATGACTTATGCCATGTTAATATGATATCTGCGTCAGAATGTCAGGGCCCCTGGGTAAGTGCCCTACATGGCTGGTCGGTATTCGACCATGATTACTACAAGTTTAGATAATGTAGCTGGCTAGACTAACAACCAATCAAAAAATGGTTGGCTGAGATGGCTAAAATTATTATTAAAATGTTGGGTCGGGGGCCTGTTATGCCAAATAATGTCCCCTGGCCAAATAGTGTCCCCCTCTCACAATGGGATTCGATAAACTATTAGCGTCTGTTGCTATATCAACGGTGTGATGACCCAATGATTAGAATTTTGATGTTCTTTTCATCTTCGGTATGCAAACAAGGCTGATTTCTGCGACAATTTCGTTGTTTAAACAAGTTTTGTTTAGCTAATAAAATGAAAACATTAATTCAAACTACTTTTGGGAACCTTGTTAACATTACAACATGAAATCCTTGTCTTAAACGTTGCTACGTTTCATAAATGGCAAAGAAAACGTGCAATCTGCTTGACACATTAAAGTTACTTACCTTAGAGATCATGAAGTCAGCTAATTTCCACTCCATTCATATGCAAATCCATTTGATTCATACACTGGCTTGTTTGTGTCACGACTTCCTCCGAAGCTGCCTCCTCTCCTTGTTCGGGCATGCTTCGGCGTTCGTCGTCACCGGCCTTCTAGCCACTGCCGCTCCTCATCTCATCATTCCATTTGTTTTGTCTTGTTTATTAAACACACCTTTTTCATATCCCATCATCAGTACCTGTATAAGTGTTCCCTCTTCCCCCTTCTATTTGTGTGTGATTGTTTATTGTGGAAGTATTTTGTATCGCCGGGATATTCACCCGTGTGCCTTGTTGTTTTCCAGTGCACCGTATTTCCGCACTGGAGTGTTTTACGCATTGCTGCGTACCGCTGCGTTATGGAATAAACCATGTATTCTGTGATTTACCCTCCTGCGCCTGACTCCTTCTAAATCACAGTTTGGCTGTCATGTTTTTATTTGAACCTGCCCTTCCCTTATCTACACTGAAATAACATAATTTCAGTAGTCCTCTATTATGAATAATAATTTTATATCTTGCGTAGCTCATTAGTACACCCTTGTGGTTGAATTCAGTTGAAGTCCAGGCTCTGTCGTAGCCGGCCGCGACCGGGAGACCCATGGGGCGGCGCACAATTGGCCCAGCGTCGTCGAGGGTAGGAGAGGGAATGGCCGGCAGGGATGTAGCTCAGTTGGTAGAGCATGGCGTTTGCAACACTAGGGTTGTGGGTTCGTTTCCCATGGGGGGCCAGTATGAAAAATAAACAAAATAATGTATGCACTCACTAACTGTAAGTAGCTCTGGATAAGAGCTTCTGCTAAATGACTAAAATGTAAATGTAGGTCGGAAATTTAGATACACCTTAGCCAAATACAAATTCCTGACATTTGATCCTAGTAAAAATTCCCTGTTTTAGGTCAGTTAAAATCACCACGATATTTTAGGAATGTGAAATGTCAGAATAATAGTAGAGAGAATTATTTCTTTCAGCTTTTATTTCTTTCATCACATTCCCAGTGGGTCAGAAGTTTTCGTACAATCAATTAGTATTTGGTAGCGTTAACTTTAAATTGTTCAACTTGGGTCAAACGTTTCGGGTAGCCTTCCACAAGCTTCCCACAATAAGTTGGTTGAATTTTGGCCCATTCCTCCTGACAGAGCTGGTGTAACTGAGTCAGGTTTGTAGGCCTCATTGCTTGCACACGCTTTTTCAGTTCTGCCCACAGATTTTCTATAGGATTGAGATCAGGGCTTTGTGATGGCCACTCCAATACCTTGACTTTGTTGACCTTCAGCCATTTTGCCACAACTTTGGAAGTATGCTTGGGGTCATTGTCCATTTGGAAGACCCATTTGCGACCAAGCTTTAACTTCCTGATGGATGTCTTGAGATGTTGCTTCAATATATCCACATAATTTTCCTTCCTCATGATGCCATCTATTTTGTGAAGTGCACCAGTCCCTCCTGCAGCAAAGCACCCCACAGCATGATGCTGACACGGTTGGGATGGTGTTCTTCGGCTTGCAAGCAACCCCCTTTTTCCTCCAAACATAACGATGGTCATTATGGCCAAACAGTTTTATTTTGTTTCATCAGACCAGAGGACATTTCTCCAAAAAGTACGATCTTTGTCTCCATGTGCAGTTGCAAACCGTAGTCTGGCTTTTTTATGCGGTTTTGGAGCAGTGGCTTCTTCCTTTCTGAGCGGCCTTTCAGGTTATGTCGATATAGGACTCGTTTTACTGTGGATATAGATACTTTTGTACCTGTTTCCTCCAGCATCTTCACAAGGTCCTTTGCTGTTGTTCTGGGATTGATTAGCACTTTTCGCACCAAAGTACGTTCATCTCTAGGAGACAGAACTCGTCTCCTTCCTGAGCGGTATCACGGCTGCGTGGTCCCATCGTGTTTATACTTGCGTACTATTGTTTGTACAGATGAACGTGGTACCTTCAGGCATTTGGAAATTGCTTCCAAGGATGGACCAGACTTGTGGAGGTCTACCATTTTTTTCCTGAGGTCTTGGCTGATTTCTTTTGATTTTCCCATGATGTCAAGCAAAGAGGCACTGAGTTTGAAGGTGTGCCTTGAAATGCATCCACAGGTACACCTCCAATTGACTCAAATGATGTCAATTAGCCTATCAGAAGCTTCTAAAGCCATGACATCATTTTCTGAAATTTCCCAAGCTGTTTAAAGGCACAGTCAACTTAGTGTATGTAAACTTCTGACCCACTGGAATTGTGATATTGAATTATAAGTTTTAATGACTCCAACCTAAGTTTATGTAAACTTCCGACTTCAACTGTATCTATTCTAGGTCCTAGGATACAACAATGAACAATGTGGAAGGATACCTTACAGTAATGAACACCTTGTGAAACAGCTTTGAAAACCAACCTGGCAATATTTAAATACATAAACTTTGATAGTTTTTGGTACAGTTGTGTATTTTTACAGATTTTTTTGTACACTCACATGGCAGTCATAGACTAAAATACTGAATTCTGGTATGTGGAATATAGAGGAGGTGGTTGATGTGTGGGTGGGATGTTCTTCCCGTCACTTGTTCCCAACAGGCAGCCAGTCTCGGAACAGGGACTTGAAGAGGGAGACTGCCAAGTCCAAGCACTGCTGCTCTCTTTCTTCTGAGTGTTTGCTGTGCTTGTGTTTTTAGTTAATCTGTTTATCTCACACATGTGGCCAGTATGAAAGTTTTCTTGCTCTTTCTTAGCAGATATTGAAAACAACAGTAGCTGTAGATTATGTAATGAAAAGTTGGAGGGTGGCTGGTAATGGAGGACATCAGGTGGATCCACGTCTGGGTGTTGGGCAGAACCCCTAGCTCCTGGAGAACAGGAGCAGAGTTAAAGGGAACAGGGTAGGAGACACAGACGTGAACAAGCAAACACACAGGTTACACTTTACCAGTGAGAAATTGTGATGGATTAGTGCAGTGTTATAAATGGGAGATATGTACTTTTCAACACTTTTGGAAGGTATTGCCTATCTCAAGCTGGTCCCCATCCGACTCAGAGCACAGAGAATCAGACTGATCCGAACTCACTGGTTCTGGTGGATGGGATACCTCCTGGGGGGCTCGGACAGTCGATGGTCCTAAAATCAATTGGAGAGGTAAATTGAAGAGGTACATTTTTATAAACTCAGCATAACTACCATGTCTTGCATTCTCAAATTTCAACCAAAGCTTAAAATACTTTGTCTATTTGGCTTCACTGAAGTGTAGGGCGTCAGTGCTTTCAGTGATCGACCGTCCAACTGCTCCAACTGTAGAAGATTGTTGGCTTAAACCGAGGTAACCCTAGGAAGACAAAGAGAAAAATATCAGTGTTAGGGAAACTAAAACTAGCTTCAGGTTATTTTGTGTGCAAATGCAAATAGTTATTATCTGAGATTTGTAATATTCACTTTAACAGATGGTGACCCTAGCTAGGAGAGAAAAAGCAGCGAGCTTCCCAGGTCTCGCCTTCCTTTCGTCCTTCTTCCAAACCAAGTAATTCGCCCGGATGTCGTAGCACTTGATCCCCTTCTTGATTCTGCTCCGGTAGCTCTCCTTCTGTTACTCGTCCATGTTCAGTCCCACCTTGATTGATAATAGGAATAAATGCAATTATATTTCATATTACAAATACATTTCATACATATCTCTTGGAGGGCCAGAAAATAAATGAACAGCGGACAATCGTTTTTACCTGGTCAAAAACATCCACATACTTCTCAGTCCGTGCCTGAAGGTGGTCCTTGAAGGCGTTCTGATCTGGTTCGACAACTTCCACCACATCAGGTGGGGTTTCAATGATCTAAAAGTACGTTATACAAAAATAGCAATAGACAAACAACAACACTAAGACAATCACAAATGTGAAAGACTACAGTACATGCAATAATTGTATATATATATATATATATATATACATATATATATATATATATATTTTTTTTTTAAATATTTTTTCACCTTTATTTAACCAGGTAAACCAGTTGAGAACAAGTTCTCATTTACAACTGCGACCTGGCCAAGATAAAGCAAAGCAGTGCGATAAAAACAACAACACAGAGTTACATATGGGGTAAACAAAACAAAGTCAAAAATACAACAGAAATACATATAATATACAGTGTGCAAATTTAGCAAGTTATGGAGGTAAGGCAATAAAATAGGCTATAGTGCAAAATAATTACAATTAGTATTAACACTGGAATAATAGATGTGCAAGAGATGATGTGCAAATAGAGATACTGGGGTACAAATGAGCAAAATAAATAACAATATAGGGATGAGGTAGTTGGGCGGGCTAATTTCAGATGGGCTGTGTACAGGTGCAGTGATCGGTAAGGTGCTCTGACAACTGATGCTTAAAGTTAGTGAGGGAGATAAGTGTCTCCAGCTTCAGAGATTTTTGCAATTTGTTCCAGTCATTGGCAGCAGAGAACTGGAAGGAATTGCGGCCAAAGGAGGTGTTGGCTTTGGGGATGACCAGTGAGATATACCCGCTGGAGCGCAGACTACGGGTGGGTGTTGCTATGGTGACCAATGAGCTAAGATAAGGCGGGGATTTGCCTAGCAGTGATTTATAGATGGCCTGGAACCAGTGGGTTTGGCGACGAATATGTAGTGAGGACCAGCCAACAAGAGCGTACAGGTCACAGTGGTGGGTGTTATATGGGGCTTTGGAGACAAAACGGATGGCACTGTGATAGACAACATCCAATTTGCTGAGTAGAGTGTTGGAGGCTATTTTGTAAATGACATCGCCGAAGTCAAGGATCGGTAGGATAGTCAGTTTTACGAGGGCATGTTTGGCAGCATGAGTGAAGGAGGCTTTGTTGCGAAATAGGAAACCGATTCTAGATTTAACTTTGGATTGGAGATTCTTAATGTGAGTCTGGAAGGAGAGTTTACAGTCTAACCAGACACCTAGATATTTGTAGTTGTCCACATACTCTAGGTCAGACCCGTCGAGAGTAGTTATTCTAGTCGGGTGGGCGGGTGCAAGCAGCGTTCGGTTGAAGAGCATGCATTTAGTTTTACTAGTGTTTAAGAGCAGTTGGAGGCTACTGAAGGAGTGTTGTATGGAATTGAAGCTCGTTTGGAGGTTTGTTAACACAGTGTCCAATGAAGGGCCAGATGTATACAAAATGGTGTCGTCTGCGTAGAGGTGGATCTGAGAGTCACCAGCAGCAAGAGCGACGTCATTGATATACACAGAGAAAAGAGTCGGCCCAAGAATTGAACCCTGTGGCACCCCCATAGAGACTGCCATAGGTCCAGACAACAGGCCCTCCGATTTGACACATTGAACTCTATCTGAGAAGTAGTTGGTGAACCTTGGCCAGGTCAATGAAAACGGCTGCACAGTACTGTCTATTATCGATCGCGGTTATAATATCGTTTAGGACCTTGAGCGTGGCTGAAGTGCACCCATGACCAGCTCGGAAACCGGATTGCATAGCAGAGAAGGTACGGTGGGATTTGAAATGGTAGGTGATCTGTTTGTTGACTTGGCTTTGCATTGCAAACAATTTTATTGTTTACCTGAGTCAACAGCTACAGCTCGCATCCGTACTCGGTGGAGGCCTGGATGCTGCTGTTGTGTGCAAAGAGAATTACCTTCAGGTTATTCTCCCACCCTTTCTGGTTCCAATCAAGGGACTTGCCCATGGCAGTCTTGAGGGTCTGGATGATCCATTCACCAAACCTGGAGGACGGGGTAGGAAAGCGATATCTATTGACAATGTAGGATACAGTGGTAGAGCATGGTGTTTGCAACGCCAGGGTTGTGGGTTCAATTCCCACGGGGGGCCAGTATAAAAAATAAAATAATGTATGCACTCACTAACTGTAAGTCGCTCTGGATAAGAGCGTCTGCTAAATGACTAAAATGTAAATGTAAACATCCGTACCTTGGTCACTCAAGATGACCTCAGGAGAACCGTGGGTGTTGAAGATGTCCACCATCGCCTTAGAGGTGGCCACGCCAGTCTCGTCCTTGATGGGTATCATACAAAACGAAAATCTATTTTTGGTTCCAAGCACCCTTTTTTTAATGGGTTACAGATGGAATTTGGAGTTAAGCACGTACTTTTCCTTTACTGACCTTAAATGGGCATTGCCTCAACCCACTTGGTAAAGTGATCGGTCGCTGTCAGACACCAGCTGTTGCCATTCCTGGATTTCGTGAAGTGTCCGATGAGGTCCACCCCTAACATTTAAAGTGTTAGAGAGAAGATTACTTTATTCTTACCCGTATCTGTCATAGAGTATGCACATTTTCATATTTGTAAGGATACTCTCACACACACACACATTCTATAGTATTGAACTCTGCTGTGGTCAAATAAAGCAACCATTACAAAACAATTTATCACTGCAAAATTTGAATTGGGACACTTACCGACCATGTGCCATGGTGAAACAACTTTGATGGGCTTAAACTCCAGGTCCACAGTCTTTGCCCTCTCAAACTTCTGGAAGGCTAGACAGGTTACTGACCTTTAAGCAAAAAGGGACAAATTGAAACATTGTGTGATTTCTGATATGAAATTCATTGAAATTATAATTTCAGATATAATAGAATGTGATTGATAAACAAAAGGTTATTTCACTTGCCCAGCTGTCCACCTCCTTGACATTTCCCCATCAGAAGAAGCGTAGGTTGATTTTGGCAATCATGCGCTTCACATCCGAAATGGCCAGCATGCATCTCCGTCAGCACGGCCTTCTCCTCCTTAGTAAAAATCACCCTCCTGTGTGGCTGGCCATCCTTCCCCCGTAGGTAGATATGATTGCCTAACAAGTTGGTAGAGAAGAGTTGTTGAATACTCAAGCCTAAGTACATTTTCACTGCTGTCTTTCTCTCTTTATTGCTCTCTCGCCATCTCTCTCTCTATGTCTGTCTTCCACTCTCTTCCCACCTCTCTCTCCCTCTCTCACCTAGTTAAGGGCATTTCTTGAATTACCATAATTGCTTACACCTATCCATTTGAAACATGGAAACCACGTGTTTGATACCATTCCATATACTCCATTCCAGACATTATTATGAGCCATCCTGTAATGAATACTCGGACAGAGTGGTAAGATCCAATCGCAGAATAGCGATGCTTTATTAGAGTACAAACAAGGGAATAGCTTAATCGTAGTCGGGCGGGCTGTGGTCAAAACCGGGCCAGGCAGAGACAGGCAGAGGTACCAAGGGAGCGGGCGTAGTCGTAGTCGAGGGCACAGGCACAGGGTCAGAGTACGGTAATCACTGGGATAAACAAGCAGAGGATTAAGCAATTTGGGGAGTCAAACAACAAGGCACAGGTTGGATACACGGGTAATTAAAAACAACAAACTCTCTCTCTCTCTCGGAACAAAACGCTTAGCAAGTCACAATGGAACAATACCTCGCACCGACTGAGCTTCTGAGCACACCTTATATCCTACACTAATTACTGACAGGTGTGCTCAGAACTCAGGTGAACCAGATCGAGTCTGATGACTCCCCCTCTCAGTAGATCGGGGAAGTGTCAGACTCTGTCTAGACCCAGCCAACCCCCGATCCCTTACAGTATCCCCCTCCCCAGGGCCGGCTCCTGACGGCCTTCTACCTCTACCGGGTGGTCTTCCTCTGGGTCGGGGTCCTGGATGATCTGGGTGTTCAGCGTGGAAGGTGGCCTTGAGAGCGGGGTCCAGTATGTCCTTAGCAGGGATCCAGGACCGTTCCTCAGGTCCATATCCCTCCCAGTCCACGAGATATTCGATGCCCCCTCGTCTCCGTCTTGACTCCAGTATCTCGTGAACTGTATAGGTGGTGTCCTGTTCATCCTCCAAAGGTAGTGTAGTAGGTTGTTGAGCAATTGGGGGGTACATTGGGCTATAGTGGACAGCTTTCAACAGGGAGACGCGGAACGTAGGGTTTATCCTGTAGTGTCGAGGGAGTAACAGACGGTAGGTGACAGGGTTAATACGTCTCAGTACCTTGAAAGGCCCGATGTACCTGGGTTGGAGCTTCTTGCAGCTCCGTCGGAACCGCAGGTCTCGGGTAGACAGCCACACTCGTTGCCCGGGTTGATAAGTGGGAGTAGGTCTCCGGCGTCGGTCGGCGTAGGTCTTTTGCTGTTGTGAGGCCTGACTGAGATGTTGATGGGCCGTCTCCCAGACCTGCGCACTCCGACGGAACCACTCGTCCACCGCCGGTACCATCCCGGGTGCGGTATCCCACAGGAACAGGGGTGGTTGATACCCTAGAACACACTGGAAGGGCGTTAGACGTAGGAAGGTGTGAATGAGTGAGTTCTGAGCATACTCTACCCAAGGAAGGAATCGGCTCCACTCTTGCGGCTGCCGCGAACATTGTTGCCGTAGATAATTCCCAATTTCCTGGTTGAGCCGTTCTGTCTGCCCATTGGCCTGGGGATGATATCCGGAGGTGAGGCTCACCGAGATGCCCAAGCGTTCGCAGAAGGCCTTCCATACCCAGGATACGAACTGGGGTCCCCGGTCGGAAACAATATCCTCCGGAACACCAAACTGCCGGAACACCTGGTTAAACATAGTCTCAGCCATCTGAGTGGCGTTAGGTAAACGGGTCATGGGTACTAACCGGCACATCTTGGAGAATCGATCGATGACCACGAGAATTACAGTATGGCCCTCTGATTCTGGTAGATCGGTAACAAAGTCCATAGCAATGTGCGACCAGGGTCGTTGAGGAGTTGGCAATGGCATCAGCTTACCCTCCGGTAGTGCTCGAGGCGCCTTGGACTGAGCACATACTGGGCAGGATAATACGTAGTCTCTGACGTCATCTGTGAGGGAATCCCACCAGTATTTTCTACTGATGAGTCGTGTAGTTCGAGTGATTCCGGGATGACCAGATCCTAGCGATGTGTGGCACCATTTCATCAGTTGAGGTCGAAGCGGAGCTGGTACAAACACCTTCGACACCGGGGTTTCTGGAGGGGCTGGTTCCGCTTGGAGGCTCTCCTGAATAGTATCATCGATAGCCCACCTCACAGGACCAGCACGGCAACTCATGGGGAGGATAGGTTCTGGTTCCACAGGTCTTTCCGCGCGCTCGAACCGTCGGGAAAGCGCGTCCGCCTTACAATTCTTGGACCTGGGAATATAAGAGACAGTGAATTGGAAACGGTTGAAGAATAAAGACCACCTTGCCTGTCGGGAGTTCAGTCGTTTAGCACTGTGAAGATATTCCAGATTGCGGTGGTCCGTGAGCACTTGGAACGGATGATCTGCTCCCTTCAGCCAATGTCTCCACTCCTCCAGTGCTAACTTCACCGCCAGTAATTCACGATTTCCCACGTCGTAGTTCTGCTCGGCCGGATTCAGCTTCTTAGAAAAAAAAGCACAGGGTCGTGATTTGGGCGGCTCACCTTGGCGCTGGGATAGCACGGCTCCAACTCCAACCTCCGAGGCATCCACCTCCACGATAAACGGCAAGGTAGGATCCGGCTGACATAAAATGGGAGCGGTGGTAAAGCGTTGTTTCAATGTCTCAAAAGCCCGCACTGCCCCCTCCGTCCATTTCAGACCACGACCCTTGTAGCTGGTCATCGCCGACAGGGGAGCTGCGGTTGTGCTGAAATTACGCACGAACCGTCTATAGTAATTGGCAAACCCTAAGAATCTCTGGAGCTCTTTCACCGTCTGGGGTTGAGGCCAGTCTCGTACAGCTTGCACCTTAGATTCATCCAGTTTTACCCCGTCGGGAGTGAGTATGGCCCCAAGGAAGGAAATCGTAGTGAAATGGAATTCACTCCTTTCAGCCTTCACGAACAGAGAGTGTTGTCGGAGTCGGTCCAGAACCTGTCGTACATGGGACACATGTTCACTCAGAGAGTTAGAGTAGATTAGGATGTCATCAATGTACACTATAACAAAGCGATCAATCAAGTCCCTGAAAATGTCATTCATGAACGCCTGGAACACAGAGGGCGCGCTAGTAAGTCCATAGGGCATGACACAATATTCATAATGTCCTCGATGGGTGATGAAGGCGGTCTTCCATTCATCCCCTTCTCTAATGCGCACCAGATTGTACGCACTCCTGAGGTCCAGTTTACTGTAGATGGAGGCCTGCCCCACCTGCTCGAGGGCTGCTGGAATCAAAGGAAGAGGGTAACGATTTTTAATGGTAATATCGTTCAAACCTCGATAGTCTATACAAGGACGCAATCCGCCATCCTTTTTCTTAACAAAGAAAAAACTGGATGCGGCGGGAGACGTAGATGGGTGAATGGCCCCTTGCTGTAGTGCCTCATCAATATACTTGCTCATAGATTCTCGTTCCGGCTGTGACAAAGGGTAGATTCTTCCGCGAGGAGGTGTAGCCCCGGATAGCAGATCAATTGCACAGTCCCAAGCCCGATGCGGTGGTAACACGGTAGCCCTCTCCTTGGAGAACACCTGCGCGTAATCCTGGTACTCTGTAGGAACAACAGTAGACACCGCACCCTGCGCATCCTCCACAGTAGACATTTTGCAAGGTAAATTGAGGCACTCTGCCCTACATACCTCACTCCAAGCCGTGATATCGCCAGATCTCCAGGAGATGACCGGATCATGGGTAACGAGCCAGGGGTGGCCGAGGACTAGCGGCTCCCGTGGAGCGGAGATGACGAACAGAATGATGTTCTCATGGTGCAGGGAGCCCACTTGTAACTTTATTTCCTCGGTACGGTGCGTAATGAACCCAGTGCCCATGGGCTCACCATCTAGCGCGTTGACTCGCAGGGGAGGTTGAATTGGGATAAGTTGAACTCCCAATTCCTCAGCGAGACCCACATCCATAAAACTGGCAGCCGCCCCGGAATCAATAAGACCTTCCAATCTGCGCACTCTCTCTCCAACAGATAAGGTAACTGGCACATACATTTGTTTAGATGTGATGTTGAAAACGTGAGTCTCACTCACCGGTTTGGCAGTTCCGAGGCGATATTCTGGGGTACGGTTTGGTCGTACCGGACATTGCCGAATGAAATGACCCGACTGACCACAATACAGGCATAGTCCGTCTTGCCGACGTTGTTGTCTCACCGAACCTTGTAGGGGTGACCGTCCCAGTTGCATAGGTTCCTCCTCAGATTCTCTCCTCCGCTCTGACGATTGCGTAGGACCAGTGACCGATGGCTCCCGGATTATCAATAGAGATGGCGATGTTGATAAACTCATGTAGCGCAGTGATATCTCCCCGACAAGCCAACTCAGTCTGTTCTTCTTTGCGCAGCCCTCTTCGGAAAATGGTGAGCAAAGCAGTCTCGCTCCATCCGCTACCGGCTGCTATAGTACGGAACTCTAAAGCGTAGTCGGCTACTGTGCGACGGCCCTGCTGAAGTTCGCATAGTTGGTCTCCCACGCTACGCCCAGATAGTGGGTGGTCGAACACCTCTTGGAACAGTCTCTTAAACTGAACTTCCGCATTCAACTCGGGGACCTCAGCTGCCCAAAGCGCAGTAGCCCAATCCAGTGCTCTACCCGTTAGCAGAGAAATCATGAAATCCACCCTGCTACGGTCATCGGAAAACATACGATTATACGACATATACAGGGACGTCTGGAGTAGAAACCCCTGACATTTGCCAGGTTCCCCGTCGTACCTTGTCGGTAGAGAAATCGGAGGTGCATGACGAGGACTGACCGTGCTCGGGGTGGTGCCTTCAGCCGCACCAGCGTTGAGTAGCAGCAGGAGTTCATCCATCCGTTTCTCCTGTATCTCCCATCGCCTCTGTAATTCCACTGGATCCATGGTAAAGGCGAGGTATTCTGTAATGAATACTCGGACAGAGTGGTAAGATCCAATCGCAGAATAGCGATGCTTTATTAGAGTACAAACAAGGGAATAGCTTAATCGTAGTCGGGCGGGCTGTGGTCAAAACCGGGCCAGGCAGAGACAGGCAGAGGTACCAAGGGAGCGGGCGTAGTCGTAGTCGAGGGCACAGGCACAGGGTCAGAGTACGGTAATCACTGGGATAAACAAGCAGAGGATTAAGCAATTCGGGGAGTCAAACAACAAGGCACAGGTCGGATACACGGGTAATCAAAAACAACAAACTCTCTCTCTCGGAACAAAACGCTTAGCAAGTCACAATGGAACAATACCTCGCACCGACTGAGCTTCTGAGCACACCTTATATCCTACACTAATTACTGACAGGTGTGCTCAGAACTCAGGTGAACCAGATCGAGTCTGATGACTCACCCTCTCAGTAGATCGGGGAACTGTCAGACTCTGTCTAGACCCAGCCAACCCCCGATCCCTTACACATTCTCCACTCAGCAGCCTCCAATGAACTATATGAATAGCTAGCAAACTAGCTAGATGGAAAATGGTTGTTGAAATCCATCCAGTTATCTAATAGAAGTTAACTGCTTAATGATACCCTGAATTATGAATGTATCTGAATGTTGCACCTCTTGTCGAGATCAGTGGTGTCTTCATAGTACTTCACCTGGTTGGAAAGATAAAATAAAATCTCATTGAGGGATGCCATTGAAGAGCAAGCTACATAAAAACAGAAAGCTACAATAACAGTTACAGTAGCTAGTTAGCTAATGTTAGCTAAATAAAACTGTCTGTAGCTGGCTACTGTAGCTGGCTAGCTGACTAGGCAGGCTGAGGTAAATAAGGACAGTAGCTAACAACGTTAATCTAAAAACAGCTTAAATTATTTATTCCTATTTAACAATATTTACTTACATAAAGACAAATATATGGTAAAGAAAGAGTGTTCTCTTTCCAGTCTTTTCGGTCCTCTGAAGCAGCAGGTAGTCAGCAGGTTGTCACCATCAAAAACACCGTCCTTGGAGAGCAATTCTGAGGTAATAATTTTGCGTGGACTGAGCAAGAGTTTATGCAGTGAAATAGAACTGCCCGCATCCTCCTTCCTTCGCGACCGCTACAAGGTAAAATAAAGCCAAGCAACCAGCATAGCAATGGACGCTTTGGTTCATTACGTACGCCGGTCAGAATTTTGCAAGTTCTAGCAACAGCCCTAGCAACAGAAGCTAGAACTCATTGAATCCCATTGTGACTCAGAGGGGACACTATTTGGCATGACAGGCCCCCTAGCGGCTGGGGCCACTAAGCGCCTGCTGGTCATTCATACTTCCATTTGACAGCCTCAACACTTAATTTAATTACATGAGATTGGCATAACATAATATTACAGAGAGGATATACCGGAGGGACTAGGAAGTAAATCAAGCATTTGAAAACCCATTAGCAATCTCACCATCACTCGATGAATCTGTGATTACTCTGGGAAGGCTCTCGCTTGCTCCCACCTGGTAATGAGGTGGCTCTGTTCTGGTACCAGCTGCACTATCCTATTTATCGTCTGGACTCATGTTAAAAACTGAACTTTAATTAACACCTTAGACAATATATTATTTTAACTGGCTATTCCTTGCCATTCTTCATTGGACCACAACGGAAATAAGTATTGGAATGAATTCTATTTTATCATTTTTATGCTTTGGCATGTAGTAATTGTTGTATAATTTATGAGAGGGGCTATCTTTGTGATGCTAGGGTTTTAAAGTCTAGCTATTCTATAGATCAAACATATATGAATGGAATTCACAGTCATTTCAAAGCTGAATTGCTGGGACATTCCATATACATGCTATAGTACTTACTGCTACAGCACCCATCTGACCCTTTAAGTGCTATCAGATTGTATGCAAAAACCCTCTGCTGGTTGCACTGGAAGATTTGAATAATCAGGATTCATTAAAGACACCATCTGTAACTTTCATGTCCAGACAAAAGAGCTGCCCCTGCACTGTTGATCTTTTAGTATTGGTTACCTCAAATAATTAATATAACACAGTGGTAGGTAGCCTACATTATCAAGACCCAGCCCCTGGGCCTTAGTTGACAAGAGCAAGAACAGCATCTTTTGACTGGAAATTAAAGTTTCAGACTGCATTTAAAGGGAAAATATGCAGCTGCTTTTTGGACTGTTCAGAATTACTGTCAGGATTAGAAACATTTCAGTAACGGGTGCAATAATTCTAACTGATTGGTTTAGTTTATTACAAATCTATGTAAATGCAAAAACAGATATTAAAAACAATCTACAGTGCCTTCAGAAAATGTTCTCACCCCTTTACTATTTCCAAATTTTGTTACAGCTGAATTTAAAATGCATTAAATTGAGATTTTGTGTCACTGATCTACACACAACACCCCATAATGTCAAAGTGGAATTTTGTTTGTAGAAAATTGTTGAAGTTAATAAAAAATGTAAACCTGAAATGTCTTGAGTCAATAAGTGTTCAACACCTTTGTAATGTAAAGTCTAAATAAGTTCAGGAGTAAAAATGTGCTTTACATATCTATTAATTAGGTGCATGGTCTCATTATGTGTTCAATAATAGTGGTTAACATGATTTTTGAATGATTACACCATCTCTGTGCCCCACACAATTATCTGTAAGGCACCTCAATCGAGTAGTGAATTTCAAGCACAGATTCAACCAGAAAGACCAGGGGGGGTTTCAATGCCTCGCAAAGAAGGGCACCAAATGTATCGTCCATGTAAAAAACCTGTCTGATTAGGATGAATAATGTCCGACAATACCTTTTTAATTCTATACGCTAAGCATTTTGCTAGAATGTTTGCATCACAACACTGAAGTGTAAGAGGCCTCCAAATTTTTAAATGGACTGGAACTTTATATTTACCACTTGGATCCTGTTTCAGTAATGAAATCAGATATTCTTGTTGATTGTCTGATAATGTACAATTTATATAGGAGTGGTTAAGACATGCTAATGACGGTCCTCTGAGTATATCAAAAAAGGTTTGGCATACCTCCAACAGTATGCCATCCAGCCCTGGAGTTTTCCCGGACATAAAGGCTTTAATTGCGGCAAGAAGTTCCTCCTCTGTGACCAAATTATATTTTGAAAGAGGAAGTAAAGTACTTTAAGCATATGTTTTCGTTTCAGTCTCCTCCATCTCCACTAACTGAAGCTAATTGTATGGACTTTTTTTCTGTTAATAATGCAAAATTAACAGCTGAACAGAAAGACTCATGTGAAGGCCAAATTACAGAGGAGGAACTTCTTGATTCCATCCAGCCCTGGAACTTTCCCGGACTTAAAGGCTTTAATTGAATCAAGAATGTCCTCCTCTGTAATTTGGCATTCACATGAGTCTTTCTGTTCAGTTGTTAATTTTACATTATTAAGAGAAAAAAAGTCTATACAATTAGCTTCGGTTACTGGAGATGGAGGAGACTGAAATGAAATGCTGTTCTGTGAAGGGAGTAGTACACAGCGTTGTACGAGATTTTCAGTTTCTTGGAAATTTCTCGCATGGAATAGCCTTCATTTCTCAGAACAAGAATAGACTGATGAGTTTCAGAAGAAAGTTATTTGTTTCTGGCCATTTCGAGCCTGTATTCGAACCCACAATTGCTGATGCTCCAGATACTCAACTAGTCTCAAGAAGGCCAGTTTTATAGCTTCTTTAATCAGCACAACAGTTTTCAGCTGTCCTAGCATGATTGCAAAAAGGGTTTTCTATTGATCAATTAGCCTTTTAAAATGATAAATTTGGATTAGCAAAAACAACGTGCCATTGGAACACAGGACTGACGGTTGCTGATAATGGGCCTCTATACGCCTATGTAGACATTCCATTAAAAATCAGCCATTTCCAGCTACAATATCCATTTACAACATGAACAATGTC